CATAGTTCCACTTGGGGGTTTTTTGGTGGTTAATTAGAGATGAGTCTCATGGACTTTCCTACCCAGGCTGGGCTTTGAACTATGATCCTCAGGTCTTAGCCTACAGAATGACTAGGGTTACAGGTGTGAGCCACCACTGCCCAATGCCAAGTATTCTTTATCACAAAATTTTCAGCTTGGAATTTAAAAATCAATGAGTCCACACTGGACACTATGCTGAAAATTATATAAATGGGAGGGAAAAACTAGGAGAGAACGAGGGAAGGAGTGACACTGTTCAAAAAGAATATGTACTCTTTATCTGACTTATGTAACTGTAACCCCTCTGTACATCACCTACATAATAACAATAAAGAAATTTTAAAAAGAAATTAATTAGTTCAAATCTTACATAGGACATACATGGAAAACAGATCGCAACAGCCAAAGCTCTTGTCCAGGCCACACACTAAATCCGTGAGTGTTAGGACAAGTCCTGGCAGCAGAGTCTATGTCCTTAGGGAACAGATGTCCAAGCCATCGAGAGGGACAGAAACCCTCCAAAAAGGACATAGTCCAAGACTCTCCCATCAACTATACTACAGTTAGCACCAGATTCCACCACTAAAAACCCTTTCTGAACTTTGGACTAAAGCTGCAGAGGGTGGCTTGTGTTGCATCCACTGGCTCAAAGGAACTGTATCTTTCAGTCCATGCCTCTATTTCTAGACTGGATCACACCAAATAACCTCAAAAAGTGTGAACTGACCCTGCAACTCCATGCCAAGGCTTAGATCCTAGAAAACTGAGCATATTCATGCAAAATGCCACGAAGTTCACAGCAGCATTACATGTAACAATCCAACAACGAATGAGTGGACCAATTGTGGTCTATCCATACAACAGAATGTTTCGCCATAAAATAAAGTACTGATTGATCATTGTTACAACATGAACTTTGAAAGCAGGGTAAATAAAAGAAACTAGACACAAAAGGTCACATACTGTAAATTTCCTACATATGAAATGTCCAGAAAAGGCAAATCTTTATAGAGATGGTGAATTAGTGGTTATCAGGGGCTAAGGAAGATGGAAAGAGTAGGAATGTCTGCTAATGGTTCTTTTTGGGGTTATGAAAAATGTTCTGCAATTAGATAGTGGTGATGGTTGCCTGGCTCTCTGAATAAACTAAAAACTACTGAACGAGGGAATGTGGCTTAGTGGTAGAGTGCTTGCCTAGCATGCATGAAGCCCTGGGTTCAATTCCTTAGTATCACATAAACAGAAAAAGGTAGAAGTGGTGCTAAGGCTCAAGTGGTAGAGTGCTAGCCTTGAGCAAAAGAAGCTCTAGGACAATGCCCAGGCCCTGCAAGTCCCAAGACTGGCAGAAACAAAAACAAAATACTGAACTAAATACTTGTCATTCTAGCTACTCAGGAAGAATGTGGTCCAAAGCCAGTCCAGAAGGAAACACTGTGAGATGTGAGACTCTTATCTCCAATTAACCACCAAACAGCTAAAAGGGGCTGGGCACTGGTGGCTCATCCCTGTAATCTTAGCTACTCAGGAGATTTGAGGATTATGGTTCAAAGCCAGCCTAGGCAGGAAAGTCTGTGAGATTCTTATCTCCAATAAACCACTCAGGAAACTGGAAGTGTGGCTTAAGTGGTAGAGTGCTTACCTTGAGCAGAAGAGCTGAGGGACAGCACTCATGTCCAGAGTTCAAGCCCCACAACTGACAGGAGGAGGGGGAGGAGGAGGGAGGAAGAGGGAGGAGGGGGAGGAGGGGGAAGAGGAGGGGGAGGAGGAGGGGGAGGAGGGGGAGGAGGAGGGAGGAGGGGGAGGAGGGGAAGGAGGAGGGGGAGGAGGGGGAGGAGGAGGGGGAGGAGGGGGAGGAGGAGGGAGGAGGAGGGAGGAGGGGGAGGAGGGGGAGGAGGAGGAGGAGGAGGAGGAGGAGGAAGAGGAGGAGGGGAGGAGGAGGAGGAGGAGGAGGAGGAAGAAGAAAAGTCTCAGCTACCTTCTCCTCTAAAGGGAGAAATCACCCACTGTTGTTCTGACCAGACCTGACCAGACCAGCTCTTGGAGAGGAAAAGTCAGTAACCAAGTTAAGACACAGAGAGGGGGAAAAGTCCTTCAATTATATATCTACAACTTTCTTTTTTTTTTTTTTTCGGGTCCGGTCGTGGGGCCTGAACTCTGGGCCTGGGCACTGTCCCTCAGCTCTTCAGCTCAAGGCTAGCACTCTACCACTTGAGCCACAGCGCCACTTCCGGCTTTTTTCTTTTTGCTTATGTGGTGCTGAGGAATCAAACCCAGGGCCTCGAGCATGCAAGGCAAGTGCTCTACCACTGAGCCACCTTCCCAGCCCATATCTACAACTTTCTAAACAAGAGAACAAATCAAAACTCTAACCAGTTCTCAAGGCCACCGAGTCAATCCACTAGTGCAGTTCTTCCTTGGCTATATGACTTGCCTTAGAAACCAATATACCCCAAATTAGACCTATACACTGCACCCCCAATGGCTATGAAAAGAAGTGTATATGAGGATGTGGGGACTGTTGTGACTTCTGTGTAATAGTTTTCTACAGACTAAACTCATGACTGCCTGTGATTCCACTCTGCCCATTACACATCCATGCCTGTAACACACTTGCTTCCACACCTTGTCAATGCTGCACCAAATGTGCAGTTTCTCCTATGCACTCTCTAAGCTGGTCTCTGTCAGTGTAAGCTTCACATACTCCATTTCTTCAGATTAGTTACTGTTTCTTTCAGGATGGCAACACAGTACAATATTCTCAGGTAGCACAACACATTGGTACTTTCAATAAAATCTCTGGCTTGTCTGCAAACAAAACAAATGCTCCCCTAATAAGTCCTGAGAGAAACAGGAAGCAAAAACAGCCTAACAAAATGCAATTCACAGACCGCAAACTTTGGCTACGACTCACTTCAATTACAGGTGTGTTTCTAGAATCAAATTTTGATTACCTCTCTCTGACTTCATCTTTAATATTCTCTCCTACCCCCACCTCTCATATCTTGGCTAAATGACCCTCAAGAACACCAACCTTTCCCCTTTCTTGGCCTTCACACTTGACATTTCCTTTTGCAAGACATCCTTTTCAACCAAGTTTCAACTCACATCACTTTTCTCTTGAGACTTCTCCGCCCTTCAATGTCAAGTGGTTCTATGACGTACTCACTGCCAATCACTACCACCTCACTTTGCTGTTTTCACAGCACTTGGCCCTAGCTGACATACTGTTCTTGGTCCATCTTCTCAGACAAGGAAAGTTCCACAAGGGTGGGACTTGACTCTCTAATTCACAATTACACTCCTCATTCCTGGTACAGAGCAGCACTCAAATATTTGCTGATTAAATAAATGTGTACCAGAAATATGTCTTGTTAACTTATAAACTCTTAAAAATCTCTGAACAGGGCCAGAATTTCCTTGTGAAATGCTATAAATGCCATTTTATTGAGCCTTTTCCTATGGTGATAAGAGGGTATAATTTCCTGTTCTTGCACCACCCTTGTTCTGAATATGCTAAAGGAAAAATGGAGTTTCAACATCTTACTACTGGGAAAACCAGTTAAGGCTCTGTTTTTTTTTGAGGGGGTGGGAAATGGGTGGGGGGATAAGCTTCAAACCCAGAACCTTATGCAGGCAAGTCAAGTGTTTTACCACTAAACTACATCCCATACCCAGGCCATGAAACCTTTTACCTGACTTCTGAGGTTCTAAATAAGGAATCCTTCATTAAGCAAAAAGCAAGCAAAATATATCAACTAACAGAAGGAAAGCTTTTATCAGTCAATCATCAACCCATTTGGAGCAGAACAACACTAAAGAACTTAAGGAAGAATCTTCTTTTGTAATGGTCAAATGTCACATCCTTTTCTCATTTGTGTCTTTTCATTCACTCTCAGGATGAAATTATCTGCTGAGGAAGCAATTTACAGGAAGATCTGGGAAATCACTCTGGATTAATTTTATAAATGATTTCAATTTTAGTTATGGCCTCCTGACAAACAGATATGAGCTGAACTTTCTTTCTTTCTTTTTTTAAAGGCTACTCCTTAAAGATTTCAGGGTTCTCTAATAGAAGACAGCAAGTTGTGACCCATTCTACAAGTACAACTCTTCTACCTCCACCTTCACCCACACACTGACTTCATCCCTAAGGAGTGGTGTAGCCCTGTAGGGAACCAGAAACCAGCCAGGTGGACTAGAAGTGTTTTTCAAGACGTTAATTCATGGGCCACTTCCATCATGATCACTTATAAATGTGATCAAGTGTAGATTCCTGCCCAGTCCTACTAAATTAGCATCTTTGGGAAAGACAGATACTACATCTTAACATACTTTTGGAAATTCTTCTGCACAGTAAAGTTTGAGAACTACTGAGATAAAATGACCCTAGAAAAGAGGCAATGAGTTGACGGAGACAGGCAGGGTAGGGAAGGGTCTGGGGATGGAGACCCGGGGTGAGGTCGGGGAGAGCATCCTCTGGGGTTGCGGCAGTGGAGGGGGAGTGCGTGGTGTTAACAGCTGAGGGTGGGGAGAGGCCAGGGCCGGGGGTAATGCGCTGGTGGCAGGCGGGATCTCCTCGGTGGACTAGATTAGCACGGTGGCAGGCGGGGAGAGCAGGGCGGGACGTGAATGGGAGGAGAGAGGATGGAAATAACGGGGGTTCTTCCGAGGGTCAGGACTGGGAGGTGAAATTTGGACAGTGGAGGTGACAGGGGGCGGGGACCAAAGTCGGACTGGGAACAGGAGGAGGCAGTGGCCCGGGTCCTCCTCCGACACGGCGCCTCCCCGAAAACTCCGGGCCTTGACAAGCGTGAGCGCGAGGCCGGGGAAGGGGGCTTGGTGAGAAGCAAGTCTCGTCAGGGACAACCTGGCCAGGGGTCCTGGAAGCGGCTCGGGATCAGGCCTGGGGCGTCGGAAAGCCCTGGAATACCCAAGAGAGCCCTGCTCTAGCTCGGGTTCCCGGAGTCTCCTTCACTCACCATCGCCGCCGCCATCTTGGATCCACGTGTCGCCGTGATGACGTCAGCGGAAGTGGTGCTCCCTGATTACGGACTTGAACTCGGCGAGGGAGTCGTTCAGCGTCAGTGGCTCCTCTCATCGCAGTCAGCGGAGAGCCGAAGAATATTTAACTCCTGCTGGACGGCCTAGTCCTGGCAGTTAAGTCTCTGGTGAAGTGAAGAGATAGAGAGAGAACGGTGTAACTAATGGAGCCATATCAACTCCTGGCAGAATTCGTTCCTCCCCTACTCACGCTGCATTGTGGGTAATGGAGGCGTGGCACTCTGGGCGCCATCTTTACTATTGGCAGGAAGACCCGTTGCTGGGGTAACTTGAGACCTTGCTACGGGAGGGAGGTGTTAGTAATTGGCCTCTCACATCCTATAGTCTAATAGACAATAGTTCCTATGAAAGTAGGACCGTGTCTCTTCTTCTACTTTGCTTCGTTGTCAAGTGTAAAATGGGAGATTATGGCATATGATGAAAATTCAATGACATGATTTAAATGTTTATAATAAATGTTACATATGAGTATTTACACCATCAAGTATAAAGTGGATACCCCTAACAAGATACCATTTTTTTTTTTTTAGATGAATGAAGGAAAAGTAGTATATTTAGTGAAGGGCAGCATCTTTGAATGTGAACTTTATCATGTGATTGGAGGCAAGTCACTCAACTTTCCTAAGCCTGTTTCCAATATTGGTAAATAAGGATTCTAAGAATAATGGTATTAAGACCTTAAAATTGGGGGAGGGGAAGGGGGGAGATAGGAAGGGGAAACAAAGGAGGAGGCAACAATACTTGATAAGAAATGTACTCATTACCTTGCCCATGTAATTGTAACCCCTCTGTACGGTATTTTCACAGTAAAAAATTTTCCTTAAAAAATTCAAAACTTAAAATCCATTTGGTCTGTGTATATCACTGTAAACTAGATATAGAACCAGTGTTGTTATCTTAGATTGTTTCCTAAGGTTGTTAAGATAATGTTAATGGGCAATAATAATCAGTACTCACTAATCATTTGCTGTATGTTGTAGCATTATGCATTATGATAAAAACAGTTCATAAGATTCTTAGTTATAAGCCTGGTATGGTGGCTCACACCATAATCCTAGGTATTTGAAAAGTGAAGATAGTGAGACTTTATCTAAAACACAAATGAAGGCAGAAAGGGCCAAGGCTGTGGGTGATTTAGTAAACCTTTTTTTCACCACACACAGACCCTGTAATGGTCAAAACTCAGTCCAACCAAAAAGAAGTTCTTAGTAATGTATTTCTACTTCTTGATAAGGGACAGGTAAACTCTGATCTTCACTGTGAGTACCACTGTGGTGAATTTTCTACAAGGATGATTACCAAAAAGCTTTCTTACAGGGCTGAGAAGGTGGCTCAGTGGTAGAGCATTTGCCTTGCGTGCATGAGGCCCTGGGTTCTATTCCTCAGCACCACATAAGCAGAAAAAAAAAGCCAGAAGTGGTGCTATGGCTCAAGTGGTAGCGTGCTAGCCTTGAGCTGAAGAGCTGAGGGACAGCGCCCATGCTCAGAATTCAGGCCCCATGACCGGACCCAAAAATAAAAAAAAAGCTTTCTTATCTTGCAAGGGCATACTGTTTATATTGTCAAAAGGTAGGCCATTCTCCTGTTTAATTTTATGGGCAAATCACTTATTTTGGCCAATAGAATACAGTATGAATAATTGCCAGTTCTGGGTCTGAGCCTTAATGAGGCGTGGCAGCTTCTGTTTTCACCCCTCTTGGGAGTAAAGAAGTCTGGCTAGCCAGGCACTGGTGGCTCACACCTGTAATCCTAACTACTCAGGAAGCTGAGATCTGAGGATCACGGTTCACAGCCAGCTTGGGCAGGAAAGTCTGTGAGACTCTTATCTCCAATAAACCTTTCAGAAAACTGGAAGTGGTGCTGTGGCTCAAGTGGTAGAGTACTAGCCCTGAGCTGAAGAGCTGAGGGACAGCACCCAGGCCCAGAGTTAAAGCCCCACAACCGACAAAAAAAAAGAAAAAGTCTGGCTGATCTGCTGGAGAACCACATGGAGAGACAGACTGAGTCAGATTCCTCAAGGCATCCTGGCAGCTGCAGTGGAGCACTACTCAGGAAGGCAATCGACCTTGAACAACCCAACCTAGGCTGAGCCACCTACTGATTCTAATCATGTAAATAACCTCATCAGTCCTCACGATAAACACTGACCAGCTGAATCTAGATGGTTTGTTGTGCAGTAATAGATCATTGGAACACCACTATCATCAACTCCTGTGACCCAGGATCAGATACTGTTCATAAGGTTATGGGAAGAGGGGAGCTTGAGAAGCAGGAGAATTTGCCAGTCTCAGAGATTGAATTCATAATCATGAAAAAACCTGCTTGTTCCTTACTACTTCTGTCTGTCTGAGGTGAACTGGTAAGAAACAAAGCTCCACAAATGGTCTCAACTTCTGAGCTGAAGCAAACGCTCAGATGAATTTTTACCCTTATGAATTATTCTTTTGGTATACTATCTATTCTATTCTCATCTGTCTTTTCTGTGACCAGAGAGATAGATAATTCAGTTTAGCTGATAATCATAAAAGGGCAGGAATTGACTTGATATGTCCATGGAACATGACAATTGGCTCTAACTTGTAAGATCATGGCTTGTTCAGTTATTCCTATAACTCCATGTAGCAAAACAAACTCGGAATGCAGAGGTTAATAGTAAAAGTAAGTGTTTATTTCACATTCAGATGTCCACATGTGATGCGTTCGTCTGGGTTTAAAGCCAGCCTTCAGGCTGGGTCCAGATCTTCCGTGGGCTATGTTCTCTACAAGACAAAAGGCTAGATGGAGGGCAAGCCCAGTCCCACAAAATACATCTCACATCCCACTGCCCAAAGCAAGTCTCTCAGCCAAGCTCAGTATCAGTGGTGTAGGCGTGGCTACCCTCCTGTGCATTTCTGAGCAATAATCCAATATGCTCCAAATTATGAAGCCAAATTTCAACTGCAAAACCCTGGGCTTTACTTTCAGATACCCAAAAACAACTCCTAAGCCAAAAGCAAGAGGAAAGTTACTAAGGAAGTTGTGATGTTATATGTATATGTAATACATTTTCTATCAGATGTAGTTATATATCATATGTAAATACACTTTTTTTTTCTTTTTGGATGGTTATAGGGCTTAAACTCAGGGCCTGGGTACTGTCCCTGAGATTTTTTTTTTTTTTTGCCAGTCCTGGGGCTTGAACTTTGGGCCTGGGTGCTATCCCTGAGTTCCTTTTGCTCAAGGCTAGTGCTCTACTACTTGAGCCACAGCGCCACTTCAACTTATTCTGTGATTAATTGGAGAAAAGAGTCTCACAGACTTTCTTGCCTGAGCTGGCTTCCAACTGTGATCCTCACATCTCAGCCTCCTGAGTAGCTAGGATTACAGGTGTGAGCCACTGGCACCCCAGCCAGTCCTGGGGCTTAAACTCAGGGCCTGGGCACTATCCTTAAGCTTCTTCTTCTTCTTCTTCTTCTTTTTTTTTTTGCTCAAGGCTAGTACTCTACCACTTGAGCCACAGTGCTGGCTTTTTCTGTTTATGTGGTATGAGGAATCAAACCCAGGTTTTCATGCATGCTAGGCAAGCAATCTACCACTAAACCACATTCCCAGCCTGACCATAGCTTTTTTTCTTAGAATTGGCTATAAAGAAATCACCTGACCTGCTCTTGACCTCCAGTAGGTGAAATGACCCTCCTCATTCCAGTGAAGTATAGAAAGTAGTGCAGAGGCCAGGACAAAAAAAAAAAAAAACCTAAATAGACAAGACTTGCTGGCTTTCCCTGCCCGGGCTATGGGCAATCACAGCTATCCAATGAAATCTCCATGAGCCCCCAAAAGGATAGGCTTCAGAGAGCTGCCAGATAGCTGAAATTATGATTTTTGGATGTGGCCAGTGTAGAGAGGACAGGGAAGGTCCAAGCAACTCCTCCCAGACCTGTCTTTATACATCTCTTCAAACAATCTGTCTTTCCCTTAGTTCTGTGAGCTCCTTGAGTATCAAGGGGAAGGTTCTAAGAATCCTGCCTTCTGGCCAGTTGGTCAAAAACACAAGTAAAATAATCTCGGCTTGCAGTTAGCATCTCAAGTGGTGTGTGTGTGTGTGTGTGTGTGTGTGTGTGTGTGTGTGTGTGTGTGTGTGTGTGGTGTGTGTGTGTGTGTGTGTGTGTTATAGGGGGTCAGTCTTGGGGTCTTTGCCCTTCACCTATGAGATCTTATGCTATTTCTAGGTAGAAACTGCCAGAACTCAATTGGCTCAAAGGAAATCCAACCTAGTGACCTGGCTGCAAAGCTGCTTCCTTGCGGATGGGGAGAAAGCCCCACGCCTTTTCAGAGTTGTTGAAATCTCCTGTTTCGGTTGATATGAAAACAGGAAGAACAGACATTGTCATCCCTCTTGCCCTGCCACCCCCATTAAGTTTAAATAATCTAGTCTAAATTTCTGCTGTTCTTTTTGTTTTGTTTTTTGTTTTGTCAGTCATGGGACTTGAACTCTGGGCCTGGGCGCGGTCCCTCAGCTCTTCAACTCAAGGCTAGCGCTCTACCACTTGAGGCACAGTGCCACTTCAGTTTTCTGGTGGTTAATTGGGGATAAGAGTCTCACAGCCTTTCCTGCCCAGGCTGGCTTTGAACCGTGATCCTCAGACCTCAGCCTCCTGAGTAGCTAGGATTACAGGCATGGCCAGTGGCACCCGGCCTTCTGCTGTTCTTATGCCTGGTTCTTATTAAAATTTTATTTGTTTAGTTAGATTTTTTGGTGGCACTGAAATTTGAACTCAGCTTTACACTTACTAGGCAGACACTCTAGCATCAAGCCACACCACCAGCTCCATTTCCTTGTTAGTTTTGAGATAGGGTTTTGCTTCCTGTCAGGACACATGACTGAACTCCACCTAGTTATACTACCCACAAAGCTAGGATGCGAGGAGTATGCTACATTATCCAGGTATTGTTCAAGAAGGGGGGGGGGTCCCATAAACTTTTTTGCTTGGGCTGGCCTTGAACTTCAATCCTCTCTCTCTCAACCTTCCAAGATGCTGTAATTACAGGTGTGAGTCACAGTGCCTGGCTTTATACCCAATTCTGTAGAAGCAACTCAGTAGGTGTAATAGGATTCCATGTGACCTTGTGGTTACTGTGACATAGACCCTTCAGGGGACGCAATAACATAGAAAAGTGCCACAGCACCCCAGCCCATCACCCACCTCTTCTTATCTTTCCCACACCACAAAAGCTAAGTGCCAGCAACTTCATCTGAGGCAACGTGCAACAAATGTTCCTGCTTCTTGTCCCCTCTACTTCCTGTCGGTCAGCTCCCTCCCCTCTTGAAAGCTTGTTACTCAAGGTACCAGATAGCTCTCAGCAGTCACATCTGTCTCTAGACCCCAGGACTCTCAGGCCCACCAGTGGCATTTTACAACCATGGTTGTCTGATCTTGGAAAATAAATGGCAGGCTGCAGGCAGCCAGCAGCCTGAGGGAAATGTATTATTACAGATTATGTGTCCACCACAGTGACAGGTTAAAAAGGGAAGTTAAGAGGAAAAGAGGAGACTTAGGTCACAGGAGTTGTGGTGAAGGATGTAGAGTTTGGAATGATGGGCAAAGAACCATAAGTCAAAGACTGTAGGAAGCTTTTAGAATCCAGAAAAGGTGAAGAAACAAATTATCTTCTGGAGCCTCCTGAATGAATTGAGAGCCCTACTGATCCATTTCAGACTTCTGACTTCCACAGCTTTAAGAGAATAACTGTTGTTTTAAGCTACCACACTTGGGGTAATTTGCCATAGTACCAATAGGAAACCAACATAGCTAGCCACTATTTAGTACACTCAGAAAACTATGAACATTGCCGGGTGCCAGTGGCTCACGCCTGTAATCCTAGCCACTCAGGAGGCTGAGATCTGAGGATCTCAGTTCAAAGCCAGCCTGGGCAACAAAGTCCGTGAGACTCTTATCTCCAATAAACCACTAGAAAACCGGAAGTGGTGCTGTGGCTCAAGTGGTAGAGCGCTCGACTTGAGCTGAAGAGTGCAGGAACAACGCCCGAGCCCAGAGTTCAAGCCCAAGACCAACAACAACAACAAAAGGTAACTATGAACATTGAATCTTGCTTTTCTTTGCACTTCCAATCTCTGGGAACATCCTCCCCCTTTCTGATTTGTCATATAGCAAGAAATTTGGAACTGGAAGGACAGGGAAGCTGACTTTTTGGTAAAGCCTTTATCATTTATTTAAATACTTATTTTCATTATTTAAAAATTTTAATATCTAAACTACAGTGAATTCAACCATATCAAGCAACAGAAATATCACTTTGGGATCTCTTGAGATTGCAGATTACTAGAGTCAAGAAGAGATTGTCCAGTCTAACCCACCCGCTTGACAAATGAGGAAGATGTGGCTGGAGCAAAGGGTGAGTGGGGAGAGGGAAGGGTGAAGGACTGTAGGCCATGCTGGAGCTACCACATAGACACCATCTTGGCTCAGGCCCTGCCCTGCCCTGCCATCAAGGCTGCTGTTGGTACTGGCTCTCTGTGGCTGTGTAGAAGTCATCCAGCACACTCTGGATATACTCAAAGGTGGGCCGCTCCTCTGGGCGGTTCTTCCAGCAGCGTGTCATGATGTTGTAGAGCTCCACTGGACAGTGCTCTGGTCGAGGCATCCGATAGCCATGCTCCAGTGCCCGGATCACCTCTGGGTTTGACATCCCTAAGAAGGAGCCATGTAATTAAGAAAGGAAGATTGGGGGTTCTGGGGGTAGGGGATGGCACAACCATAGAGCATCTGCCTAGCAAATGTAAGACCCTAAGTTCAAACACTAGTACTGGCAAAAAATAAAGGAGGAGGAAGAGAAGATGAAAAGAAGAAAGGAGGATTGGGAAACAGGAACATATTGTGGATAAAAACTGGCTTTCCCCTAATAGCCATCAGTCTTCTCCCATCATAAATACCAGACACCCCTTTTCCCAGGCCTTTTGCTGCCAGGACCTGGACCTGACCCCCAGGTTTGACCAAGAAGGAGGAAGGGGAGTCTGCTGAGAGATTTGTTTTTCCTCATAGGTTAAAATGGAGGCTTTGGGATACTTTTGGACACTGAGAGAAGATGCAGTTCTTGGAGCTGCATCAGCCATCTGACCACATGGGGAAGATAAGCACAAAGAAACTAGCCCCAACAGTGCCAGAGGTTTTGGGATGAGGAATAATAACTTGTCTATTGTTTCTGCCCCTGTTATTTTTGTGACTTGCAGCTTCATGCAGTCAAGTGGAGGTCAGTGATCTGTTACCTGGTTTTTCACAAGTGTATTCACAAAACAAGTAGCCAGACTCAAGGGCACCCTGTGAGCAAGGCCCTTTTCTTGTTTAATGATTTTAGTTAGCTCTAAGAATTAAGTGCTTATCATTTTCAATTTTATCAGTCTTGACATTCAAACTTAGTTATATGAGTACTTCCTAAACATCTTTACATGATGTCTATATAACACCTCAGGTTTTAAAAGGCTGATGCCGTGGAGCATGCTTGTAATCTCAGCACTTGGGAGGAATAGCCACACAGTAAGACCTTGCCTCAAAAAATAACAACAAATGAACAAAAACCTGGTTTACAGGAGAGCAAAGGGAGGACTAACAAGACACGTGTAAGGTGCTCTTACAATCTGGATGTAGACAGAGGTGGTGAGTTAAAAGTGTGCAGACTTGGGCTTTGTTTTAGAGTCAAAAGGTGGAAGCTTGTGATTGCTTGGCTGTGGGGAGGGATGAGAAAGAAGGAAGGTTCAAGATGAAGGACACAAGTCTCAGATACAGTGAAAAAAGGGGTTATACTGTGAGGGAAGAACATACAAAAGAAATAAAAGAATCACATAGTGCAGCCGGGTGCCGGTGGCTCACGCCTGTAATCCTAGCTACTCAGGAGGCTGAGATCTGGGGATCACGGTTCAAAGCCAGCCCAGGCAGGAAAAGTCTTGAGACTCTTATCGCCAATAAACTACTCAGAAAACTGGAAGTGGCGCTGTGGCTCAAGTGGTAAAACACTAGCCTTGAGCTGAAGAGCCGAGGGAGCGCCCAGGCCCAGAGTTCAAGCCCAACTGACAAAAAAAAAGAAAAAAAAAAGAATCACATAGTGCACTGAAAGAATATTTAAAAAAAAAAATAGCAAGAAAGAAAAAAAACCGCTTGTATCCTTGTCTTGGGGTTCATTTCGCTTAACATCATCTTATCTGGTCATATGTACATAGCCTTTGACCTTTTTTGCTTGTCCTAGACATGTACTAGTTATTGCAAATAAGGGAAACCATGGGACCTATGTTTCTTTGGGCCTGGCTTACTTCACTCAGTATAATTTTTTCCAAGTCTTTCCATTTCCTAACATATGGGGTGATGTCATTCTTTCTGATGCAGGGATAGAATTCCATTCCATACATACATATGTTCATATATATATATATATATATATAATATTTTCTTGATCCACTCATCTACTGAGGGGCATCTGGGTTGGTTCCATATCTTAGCTATAGTGAATAATGCTGTGATAAACATGGTTGTGCTCATAGCTTTGGTATGACCTTGTTTGTGATCATTTGGGTAAATGCCCAAAAGAGGATGCTGGGTCATAGGAGAGCTCTATGTAGAGTCTTTTGAGGAATCTCCATACTGCTTTCCAAAGTGGTTGAACAAGTTTACACTCCCACCAACAATGCAGTAGGGTTCTCTTTTGGCCACATCCCCTCCAGCATCTGTTGTTACTAGATTTCTTGATTATAGCCAGTGTCCTGCATCTTGTATATACATTTTATAATTTGGAGAGGGGAAGGAATATAACAAAATGCTTAAATAAGGATACAGGTTGACCCATTGTAACAGTAAGATGTACAAGACACTATGTTGAAAACAAACTTTACAAGTTGGGGGGGGGGGGAAGAGTTGGGGAGGTGGAGAGGGAAGGGATGGTAGGGAAAAACAAAGGAGAAGGTAACAATGCTCGATAGGAAATGTACTCATTACCCTACTCATGTAACTGTAACCTCTCTGTACAGTATTTTTTTTTGGGGGAGGTCCAGTTGTGGGGCCTGAACTCTGGGCCTAGGTGCTGTCCCTCAGCTCTTCAGCTCAAGGCTAGCGCTCTACCACGTGAGCCACAGCGCCACTTCCTCCTTTTTTCTTTTTTCTTATGCTGAGGAATTGAACCCAGGGCCTCATGCATACAAGGCAAGCGCTCTACCACTGAGCCACCTTCCCAACCCATCTGTACAGTATTTTTACAATAAAAATATGTATAAAAAATGAACTTTACAACTTGGGTTGGAGAAGTGGGGAGGGAAGGGATGGTAGGGGAAAAACAAAGGAGGAGGTAAGAATGCTGGATAGGAAATGTACTCATTACCTTACTCATGTAACTGTAACCCCTCTATACAGTATTTTTACAATAAAAACATATACACACACACACACACACACACACACACACACACACACACATATGAAAGAAGGAAGGTTCAAGGAAGATTTGGTAAATGGATGGTGGGACATCTAATAGAAATGGGAAAGGTGAAGGAAGTTTGGGGGAAGACCAAGATCTGTAAGCATTATACCCATCTTTGGTCCTCAGTTCCACCCAGACCTGAGCTCCTCCCTGCCCTGGAGTTCCTGCCATACAGCTGGCCTCCCTCTCTCTCCACCCAGACCCACCTGAACTCCCATCTACCTCACTTCCTACCCCAGACCCTGCTACCTAGATAGTGGAGGTCGCCATGAACTCTCTCTCTGGGGGAAATATGGCTCCTCTAATAAACCTTGTAATAATCTTTCTCCTGTGCCTGCCTGCCTCTGCATGGTCTCCTGGGATGGATGTGATGGATCCTTTAAGATCTGTTTCATGGACACATTAAAAAGATATTGCCAGGCTGGGTTCTTGGAACAGCCCCAAGTTGATGCCCCTCTCCCTACCTGGGTAAGGGATCCGGCCGAAGGTGACAATCTCCATTAGCAGAATACCAAAAGACCAGACATCTGACTTGATGGTGAATGAGCCAAAGTTGATGGCTTCGGGAGCCGTCCACTTGATGGGGAACTTGGCCCCTGCAGGGTTATAACACAGTAGAGTCAGGGGGAGTCTGGGCAACAGCGAGGGCTGAACCTCTGCAAAGGTGGGGGAACAGGGCAGGGGCCACAGCAGCCAGCAGCTGCCCCCTGCAGAACAGCAATGGCCCTGCCACATGGCTGCTTTGTGGAAGCTTTAAGACAGATGGTGAAAGCCTGAGGAGTAGGCAGGGAACGTGGCACTGGAGGGTGCCCTCTTTGGGGGACCACTGCCCTGACTGAGCTCACGTCCCATCGAACTGTAACTTAGAAAGGGAGGGTCCTAGAAGTCACAGGAGGTCTTCAGGGAGCCATAAGTCCAGGTCACAGCTAATACCCTGGCAGTGTGGGCCTCAGAGGTT